TTTTTTTGGGGGGGGGGGGGGCATGCATTCTAACTAATCATTTTCAAAATTAACTTTAAAAAATTAAGTGTTTATCAAATCTAAAAATGAATAATTGCAAAAGCTATCATGACTTAAAATTTTTCCACCCTTAACAAGGGTAGCAGTTGTGGTACATTGCTCTGCTGCACTCTGTGGATTAAACAACCTCCTTGAAGTGCATGTGGTCACACTGAACCCCTGGGTTCAGTGTTCAGCCTATGTTTTGTGAGTAAAATGTACAAGAGTATGCTCTAATGGCAAGGCAAATGACAGAGCTAGAATAAGCATTGTCCTTCTTACTGCAAAGGTATTATGCCAGACCACTACTGATCTCAGACTGTGTACACCAGAATGTTGGTCTTACATTGAAGTCTGAAAAGTATTTACACTTTGCATTGAGGAAAATTGCTTTTCTGATTTATGGTTGGTTCTAACAACAATTGTACTGTAAGTGTCTAAAGCAGTTTCACATTTTTCTTAACATCTGAAATGTGTAATAGAAAAGAATATTTAAGTTGCTATTCATAGCCAACACACCACTCAGTGGGACATGGCCTGTTAAATGACACACGTTTGGCACAAAACATTTATTTTACTCATTTATGTGAACTGTTTCCACTATGACTGAGGCAGGAATAGAAAAGCCTGCTCTAGAACAAGATCCTATAACTCAGCTGTGCTTGCCTGAGATGATGTGAGCAGTACTAATTCCAAGTATTCCGTTTATACCTTTTATCTCTCTAACACAGGACATTTTCAAATCTTTGTGCATATATATACACACAAACATAGATGATGGGCATTAAATGGTAGAAGATATTTGTGAGCACTAGTACTGAACAAAGTCAGATGACAGGAGACAGAAAATTGCACATGAACTTGCTACAAGCTATATTAGAGGGAAAAAATTATTTTTGGCATTCACATAAATTCACATCCTGATAGCAAAGCAGTGATGTGCTCCTTATTCCTCCTCTGGTGATCAGGCTACCACACAGAGTTCTGGCATCCCACCATCAGATAGGAACATTATGGAAAATTAAAAGATAAAAAGTACAAATCTTAACGTGAAGATTAAAACAAACAAAAAATAATATTCCCAACTATATTGGAAACTAATTATCAAAAGGTTTCTAACAATAAAAAAAGAATTTTTTAATATAATCAAAGAGTTATAAAGAGAAGTATTCATATGAAAATGAGTAGCAAAGAATTAAGAGATACTACCATGAAGAAATGTAACATTCAGGAAGCTGAGATTTTAGAAAAAAGTAGCCTAGACAACATACTTTTGAATACACTGATATGTCCAATCTTGTCCAAGAACCATCTAATACATATTACCTTCTATTTTTTTTTTTTTAGTTGAAGTTTAATCTACAAGGCTAAAACTAGAAATCAGCGGCTAGAAATAGATGCTTAAAACTTACAGTACAATGTATGACATAATTAAAAATCAACTGAATTAATTATCACTTCAAAAGTCTACTTTTTTTTTTACTAGCTAGCTAACAAATAGAAATTTTTATGCAACTAGGTTTTGAAAAGGAACTGAGACTGATTTTAAGTATTGCTCCCTTTTGATATAATTTAAAATTACTCCTACTAGAATATACTTAAGTATAATGAGATTATGATGGATACCTTACTCAGGAGGTGTCTGAATATAGAAACCAAAGAGGCCCTTTCCACTCTCATGTGTGACACTTACAGCAATATTCGACGTTGATGTTGCATTATCCTTGTTGGGTTTCAGTTCAGAGTTGTCACATTTCATTTACAAAAGTCTGCTGTGTTATTCCACATTTTTTTCTTAAAATTCTCTGATACTTGTGAAAGGGACTGTAGAACTTGGATGATCACCTCCTACTCCATATTCTTTCTGACAGACAGACATTCCTGGGACTACAGCAGACCATAGTCTTACGGTTTCAACTTTTCCTGCCAGTGGAAGATGGTCAGGTGGTTCCCAAAATTATTTCAAACAACATTGTAGTTGGTAAAATACGGACTGAGTGTATTAACATTCCTTTGCCCTACATCTGTTCAGGAAGGAGTGGGAACATGTCGTATACACACCCATAAAACAAAGAACTTGCAAATACACAATGGACAAATTTAATTTTCTTTTAAATAACAGAAAAGAAAGGGAAACAAACCTCTGTAATACCCTCTGCAGTACTACAGCTCTCCTTGTCTTTTCTCAGGCAACAGAAAAGAGTAGTTAAACAGGCACCATATAATATAATGAATTCTTATCCTTAACAAACAATAAATTACCTGCACTTACACCAAATCAGTTGAGTGAAGACTGAAAAACAAAGACTGAAGTGCAACATCAAATTTATATTCCGTAAAAAGATTGACATGCTAAGTATTATACCTTTGTGCAACAAAGGTTTTAGATGGGGGCAGGTGGGGAGAAACACATTAAAACAGTACACAGGCTGTTACTCCATATGTGTTTGCAGGACTATAATAAATGTTTTTAATCTATGAAACATCTGGGACTAAAAATCCAATTTGTACCTTTTTTTTTTAAAAAAAGCTGCAATAGTTTTAAAGTGTATAGCATAGCTTCTACAATATAAATCTGCACAAAACTAACAGCACAGGTCTATCCTTTAGGCTTTTTCTAGGAGTATAAAATATGCAGAATCCTACCAGGCCATATTGCCATGGGCTGTGTTGTCAAGGTGACAGAGTAGCTCCAGGGTTTGAGTGTTGCTTGATGAATCATCAGGGGATTCATGACTGCCTGATTCCAATTCCTTCGGCATCCTCCAAACAGCAGCACATGTCATGACTTTACTGTCTGAAGCTAAGCAACAGAGAATAATGTCAACAGATCACTGTATGGGAGACATATTTTGTATACAGTGCATCAACATTTACACAAATCTATAAGCAATGCACATCTGCTGTTTAAAATATTTAAAAATATTATACAAAGATGAACTCAAAGAATGCAGAATGTGGATACAGACACAGACCTCAAGTCAGCAGTCAGGTTGCTGCAAAACTCACAATTAGCACACATTTAATGCGTTTCTCTGTGTATAAAGGCAAAATTCAGTGCTTGTGAAAACACAACTCTTTTGGAGGCAAGTCTTCCAAGCTTCGTTCCCCACATTGATGTTAATGAAAATGACCCACAAGCTACATTGCTCAATTCCTTAACAATAAGGATTTAGACATCATTTTAACATTTTCCTTTCAAGGGTTATCTTCAGTTGAATCTATGGCATTGCCACATCCTTTACTACCAATAACTGTTTATTGCAAAATTAAGTTTTCCATGTAAGTACACTCCTCTCATTCTAGCAAATAAAAACAAGCTTCTGAAAGACAAGCTGAACTTACACGCATATAGCAAGATATTACAACGTATGATGAACAAGCCAACTGTAGATTGAGGAGAAAATACCATATGGTCTATGCACATATGGCATTGCCCATCACCCAATATAGCAATTTGTAACAGTGCAGAATGGGAGGAGACCAGAGCAGCACTGCATATGTTCATGTTGTTCCAGCCGCTGGTCCAGGGTTCACAGAAGATGAATAGGTCAGTATTATCCACTGCAGCAGGAACAAAGAAACGAGCCACAGCTGTGTTAAGCAAAAGCAGGGGAGTGACTACCTGCTGGAGGATGTGTTAAACGAGAAGTCCAGAAGATAAGCAGCAACGAACGACACGTTTTCTGTTCTGAGGTCATTTCGCATGCCTCTTTCTCACAGTTCTGTCTCCAAGTACATTTTAGCTGATTTTACTGCAAAGTGCCTGATTACAGAGCCATGAGCAGACGTGACCAACTTACATCAGTGGAAAGGAAAACAGGAACAATTGTAATGAGAGTGTTTTCAAGAGGAAGGACAGTAACTCTGAAAAAGGCCTTCTTAAATTACATTAACGGGGGGGAAAAGTCTCTATTATAAAAGGTTGCCAATCTGGATATTCTATATGCAAAAAGAGGCACCCAAACAACAGAGAATAGGACAAAAATCAATTGATATGTAGTGATACATAGTAAATAAGCCCCAAATGTAAGAATGCAAACGTCTTTAAAAAGTAGCCATATGAAATAAAAACCATAGGAAGTTAGGTCAAACCAATAAGAGAAAAAGGCCATTTCTGTGAGAGGAAAACAGGGGAAGGAGAAGGACTTTAAATTCAAACACAGAATTCAAAACGCAGAAGCACTGGGTATTTGATAGATCATACTAAATATAAAATATATGTATGATGCACATAACTGCTCACAATAATTTGGCATATACAAGTTGAACACAGTATCAGGAGACCATAAATCTAAAGATGATGGATAATCCCTTATTTATTAACATTTAATTGAAATTCTACTAATTGTAGTGCATGCTAACTAAACAGCTACTTCCAAATCATTTGAGGCAAATCCTTTACTCTAAATCCATGTGCCACTGAACGAAGAGGAGGAAGCAGCAGCAGATGGCTACCTTTCTTTAGCAAAGGGCAGCAAATCAACGCACAGCATGCATTGCATGCCATACAAATAATAACGCAAACTGAGAGTGCGATATAGTTCAAGAAGGTGAGATTCATTGAATTTTTCGCCTTGATACTCAATATGTGACAGAACAGTAAAGAACACCACAGAGAAGTTTCTGGTAGATTATAATTACTGAAAGGTCTGTACCATGCATATAAAGCATTAGCTTTTCCACTATCATCAAGACCTATACAGACAACCACAAAAGCAAATCATGGAAAACAAACTACACGTTTCTCAAGCCATCTCTCCTCTCAGCACAGCACCACAAGTCTTAAGACAGCCTTGAAATGTCATTTTAACTTCTTAAAACCAGAACATTTTTAATTTCTGATCGTGTGTTCCTATGAAAAACTTTTTAAAAAAAGGTTTAGTTTCTTGCCCAATCAGATTTCCAGATTGAAAACCCTAAAACAACTAAACAAGCGCTGGCTGAAGACTGAGGGAAGCTGAAGGGGGGGGGGGGGGGGGGAAATAGATATAGATATAAAAATCCCTCTGAAACATGATGTGACCCCAGCTCCTATAACACTTCGGTGTTTTGAAAATTGCCAAAAGCCACCAATGAAATGAATCTGCTTAAATTTTTAATGCGTGCAGCAATTCTACGTAGATTTTATATTTGTTTTCAAGTTATTTCTACAGATGCTGCTAAGGAGCAAGACTGAAATGTACCTTGATACTCCAGGCAGAAGAGATTTGCTTGAGTAGTGAAAACAAGTTTATCAGATTTCCACATTTTGCAGACTTATCTATGCCATTCTTTGGAGCCCAGCATATAGTGTCCTCTCTGGAAAGCTGTTCAAGCTGCTCTGATGATATGAGGTGTATCAGATGCCATTTGCTCTTCCAGAACGCAAGAGAAACTTATCTTTTTGAAATATAATTTGACCACAGTAGATTTCTGTATTAATGGCTGTTATTATGTAGTATATTAGGCAATTATTTTTAATATTAATTTTTATCATTAAAAAAACCTGCTCCAAGTCTTGTATTTTAAAGATACAAGCGAATATATAATTCTAAAACTAAGGATACCTATCAAACTTACTAGGGATCCCAGCAGCACAGTAGTCATTCATTCTTTTTCAAATAGTAGAATTAGTTGTTATTTTCTTCTGGCTATGTTTACCAAAACAAAAAAATCTATCTATTTTTAATTAACATTAAGAAAGTCTCAGTGAGGTAGCTGTCACTTTTCATGATAAACAGAAAAATTTTACTTCTGTCTCATGACTACATTGATTACATTTTGGTATTTGTTAAAAGTTTCTTCTCACGTTACCATCGTACACATATAAAATAAGCTTATTACCTCCGCTTCCTCTTACAACATAGATATTCCTGTAAACAACTGGTAAAGTAAAAGGGTCTGAAGTACAGGTTGGTGCAGAATTTCACACACAGAATTCTTTGCCATTCCATGCCTGTTTCACTTCATCGGGACTAGTGGAGAAGGATAAAATTCATTGTGTGTCAGAAAGGGACAAAACTAAAAGCCAACAAGCACAGAACTCCTCAACACTCAGCACAGACATCATCCTCTGCTTTCAGCTGGGTTTGAAGATGCTTATGGAAAATGACAGACTGCTTTCCAGCTGTTGAATGACCATCAATCATGAACAACTGTATGTGCATCAAAAAAATCTTCAGGTTCTAATTTTAAACTTTGGATTAATTCTGGAATTAGATACATGGCTGAAATCTGTAGAGCACATACTCGATTAAGAGCACTATTATTTCTTCTTGCACTTTTTATGTACTTATCTACAGTTCTGACACTTTATTAATTCCCAGATGTGTGAAACCAAAATGGAATTGCCACGGTCTCCCACAGAAGTAATTTTAGATACAGCTGGCCTTAAGGAAGGCTTAATTTCCCTTTATATAAGGACCTTTTTAAAAGATACCATTTTCTCCCAGGTAAAAGAGAGGGCAAACACTAGTGCTGAGTGAAAGTCTCACTCTTATGACAGATGAAGTGGAGCTTTTTTGTGGGTCACAATTCCTCTTTATCAAGTAACCACTAGCAATAAACCTACAGGAATCTATAGACACAAGATAACTCTCATTGCACAGAAATCCAAGTCCCACAACAAGCTTCTCATGGCTGTATGACAAGCTCACTAGCAGTATACAGTATTTGTGGCATTACCCATATAGCCTTATTTCCCAAGTGATCATATTAAAATTTAAAAATTCAGTAACTAAGTAATTTCACTACCACCTCTGTAGTTTCATTGCTTACCTATAATACCTGCAGGCAAAGAGAAACTTCAGATTTTCCCTTCTTTTACTATCTTCACATCACCCTACTGCACATATACATATAAATGACAATGTTTTTATCTACCACCTCTCGTATTATTTCTTAAAAATGTTAAGAGACCAATATGAATGTAATATTTAAATGACAATGCCAGTTATTCCGTAAAAGAAAGAAAAACAAAACACACAGCGTCTATTTAAGTCATGCTTCTACGCCTTCCTTAAAGCTATTTACATAGTTGGGAACCACTTGTCCATCCCTATCTCATAATGAAACCAGAATTTTTATTTATGTCACAGCACCAATGCAGAAGAGAATGGATAAGGTTAAGCTAGTTTCTGTTGTAGTCTTATCACTGAGCATATTAAGAAAAATGTAACTGGGTTTAACTAAGCACTATTGAACCTCTCCTGAGAACATGGAAGTTACATTTTCATAGAGAACAAGTGAAAGGTTTGCAGAAGGGAGTCCCACTGTATTCCTAAAGCACTGTTTGCATAAAATGATACAGGAATGAGAAAATGAACTGTTTAATCTTTGTCACATTTGTTCCTCCTCATTCAAGAGAAATCCCTTGTCTAATTCATTGTGCATCTTTGGTATAACTTTTTCTAGGAATAGCTAAAGATGGAGCTAGATATACTGTTCCAACTGCACCAACCCCCTGTGAAGCACTGTTTCCCCAAGTTCATCAATACAATCTCCTGGGCAGAGGATACCATCTGCTAGAGTGACTGTACACAGTTCCATCTACCTGGTTCTGTTGAAATGATCTAGACTTACAAAGCAGCAAACCAAAATTCAAGGAATAAGTAAATAATCCCATATTTTGACAGTACTTAGTTAGGAAGCAACTACATGTGATGCTGGCAGCAATGAGGGTGCAGTAACCAACCACAGGAAACAAACTTTGATGAGTTCAGCCAAAGCCTAAGAGAGATAACCATGGCTACAGAATACGAGGCCATCTTTAGATGCCTACTTTACAAGTCGAGCAAGTGAGAAAACTCTGTGCATGCAGAG